GGCACAAGATAACAAGGCTTTGTATGAGTAAAATCAAGTTCTGCAGATCTCTATTATTTTACAGCTGAATGGGTCTCAGGCATGTGCTTCTGCTGTGCATGCTCCTGAGCAGATCCTTTTTCTAGCAGAGTGGTTTGCAAAATTGGAAGTCCCAGGGATGAGTTTTCAAGAAAGCAGCCAGCTGAGAGCACATCCCACCCATGCCACGCAGCCGCTTGGGTTAAATCCTTGTCGCTGGATTTATACAAGACCATGCAGTTGGGGAGCAATTGCTGGCTGGCATCTCAGAAAATACTGGCAGGCTTGTGCCCTGAATGCATCTCTTAAATATTTGGAGTCCTCTGCTGAGATGTGCTGGGCACTTGAGGGGGTTAAAACTTGCCACTCTCAATGAAATTTGTCAGCTCCGTGTATGCTCCAGGGCCTGAGCTGGCTTTGGGAACCAAAAGCAAAACCATCTGGGGCCACTGGCTCCCATCTCTGCCCAGGGATGCCCTGCGGTTCCCACGTGGGGCTGCCTTTCGGGATGCAGAGCTGCTCCCAGCACATGGCTGGTCCCGCTGGGGACCTTTGCAGCAGCCAAGGAGTGATGGTGCCGGGAATTAGAAACTGCCCACACAGGAGGTGTGCTGCGGGGAAGGAAAATAGAGGGTGCAGCCCCAGGGGACCGTGGGGGCCAGTTGCAGCCAAGGAGGGGATGCCCAAGGCATAGTTTGGCTTTCTCTCTGCTGCGTGCAGCTGCAGCTGTACATTTCTCCTCATCTCTGTAACTTCTCATACAGCTTTTTTGTCCTTTCCCCCCTACCTTTATCCTACTTCTGCTTTTCTTTCCCCACAAGACCCAGAAACCATGTCCAGCCAGGCCTTTTTTACATGTGGTATCAGCAGCTGCAAGTCCCCACTCAAAGCGGCTGCGCTTCAGGGCAGTAACGCAGCCCGGAGAGGTGGACCAGGGCTCACGAGGCTCCTGCCAGCCCTGCTGTGGGCTCGCGGTGCGTGCCTGGGCAAAACCCGCGTCCCCCGTCAGTTTCCATGCAGACCTTGGGCATGAGCTGCCTTTGCCAGGCGGTCACGGACAACCCACACCAAAGCATGGGTTGCAGGGGGGCTTGCTCTGGGGGAAAAGCCTTTCTTCTGCTGGCAGCAGGGCCCCAGATGAAGACTAAAGCCTAAGCCACGCTCCTGGTCTGCAGCTCCATCCCTCCCACAACCACTGGCAGTGGCTGGCTACCATGTCCAGTGCACACAAGCCCCGGTTTGGATGTGCCACCCTGTCCTTAAAAGCAGCTGTAAACACATTTTTCCACTGTTGTTTTCTGCAGCACCCAGGAGCCTGCTATACTTCAAAGCCTCAGTGTCCCTGTGCGGCATGGTGGGAAGAGCACCCTGATCCCACAGTCTCCCCCAGCACGCTGATCTCTGTGGGAAGGAGGGTGGCAGGCACCCCATGCCTTCCAAAATAATCTGTGTTTGCTATGTTCCTCCTCTTTACCATATCTGCTCATGGTCCCCTGGGGTGTTTTTGTTCCTGTTTATCTTAATTTTAATGGCACAGAAACAAGGGGAAGGAAAAGGAAGGAGGAGAGATAAGGAGGTGGGGAGAAGGGAAACATCTCTGCTCTTCCCCTCCCCGGTGCTTACCTCCAAGTCTAAGCATCTCCAAGGCCACCTCTCTGGAGTCTGATGGTCTCAGGGCCACCCAGCACCTAAGGACTTGACATCCAAAGGCATTCTCATGTTTTCCCTTTTCATGGCTGAGCATCCCCAATGGAGACCCTCATCCCCCTGACCCCCTGCCCCAGACCACCTCCGGGCCATCTCCAGCCAGCACATATAAACCGTATGAGATACCATTTTTTCATGTCCTGATGAGGGTGGGGTTTTAGCTCTTTCCTTTTCTACTCTGTGTGCTCAGGAGCAGCTTGTTGGCCATCAGAAGGGAAAGAAGCTTCCCAGACATGCTGCAGGGATGCAAAAGAATTGTTTGCACAAATAAGTATTTGCGCCTGTCCTTTTTCAGAGTAATCCTTTTTATTTTGCAAACCACTTTTCCAGTTTGCCAAGATCATTTTCAATCCTACTCCTGTGCTCCAGGGTGGTGCCTCCCAGTTCAATGTCACCTGCAGAGGTCAGAAGCACATGCCACAGCCCAGCATCCAGGTCAATAATAAAAATACCAAGTGGGACCAGACTGACAGAGAAACAATCCTAAACCTTGCTTGAAGTATCTCTGCAATGTGGCCACAAACCATCGGCACCGGATGCAATCATCCAACAAAGTCTGCACCCACCTTCTAGTGATCGCATTTAAATCATGCAGTGGAGAACCACCTAGGAGGAAGTGTAAAAAGCCTTGGCAGTGCCAGGGGATGTGCCAAGGGTCCTGCTGCTGCGTGATAGCATCACCTATTACCTCATAACAGGAGAAAATCGGGCTGCTGTAGCACAGCCTGTCACTATTGCTGTGCAGGTGCCATGGTACACGTTTTGAGTCTTCCGGTAGGTTCCCTGCTCTCTGCAGATTTTCGGTGGTAATTACAAATAGTTCTGGGATAGACAGAGCCAACTCTTGCGCTCGTTGAAGATTAATTTTGTCTGGCCATGATAACCTGTAAAAGCCTAACAGCTGTGAGTTCTTCCTCTCCTCCTCTTGGCTGAGATCTCATTGCTTGCTATTGCTGTTTGACACCTGGCTCAGAAATGTAGCCTGCACCTCAAAGGGAAATACAGAGTTAACCAGTTTGGCTCTTCCAGTGCCAACAGTTCCTGCCTTTTTCTTTCACTTTGAGTCTCACAGGAGGGTACCCTACATTGACTGGGACTGGCAGTGGATCTGCTTGGGCTGTGGTATTGAAACCACGCATCTATTAAAGATGAAAAAAGACAGAAAAGAAACAGAAACAGCTTCCGCTCTTTCCTGAAAAACTGCTTTTCTCTATGGAAAATACACTTTTAATGAGTAGCAACAAACTGGTCTTTTCTTGGCATGCACAAGAACCCCTAAATAGCACAGGAAGCATAAATTCAAGTTTTGGGTCTGCCCGAGGCATTCCACAAAGGAACAGCCTCAAAAGAGGAACGCCACCCACCTGTTCATATCCTTGGAACATACATTTTGCTATAGAAGGCTTGCAAAGTCTGCTTGCGTGAAGGTGCAGGTTGTAAACTCCAGCTGTGTTTCATCTGCCTTTCCTCCCCACCCCCCAAAAAATTTCTGTTCATTTGCCCCCTGATTGATTAAAACAGCCCACAGCAAACGAGGCAATCTGGTGCGAAGTTCAGCGGCTTGGCTTTGCTTGTGGGAATGAGAGTGCTTGACCTTATGCCTTACACTGGCAATACTGCAAGGACAGGGTGCTGCAAAACACAGACCTTAGCCTTTAGCAGAAAGGTGTGTTTGGGAGGAGGCACTGATCTATCAACACTCCCCTGATGCGTGAATATCCTGCTGGTACTTTTTCCCCCAGACAACTTGCAAGCATGAGCTTCATTAGCCTTCCTGCACCAGCACTCACAAACTTGCCAACAGAAGCAGGGCAGGAGCATAACCATCATGCTGCTGCATTTCTGGCAGATTTTTACTGCCACTGCACACTCCAGAAATAGCCTGCAACATGCTTTTAATGAAGGAGGACAGGATCTGAACGCCAGGCTCAGTGGATGGCTCAGGGATTTGTCAGACACGCAAAAGCACTTCAAATGTGGTACCACCAAAGTACTTGAGTGGGATGGGTAAGACGTTTGCAGAATGGCCTTTTTGGCAGGTCAACACCACCGCTGCACTCAGCAAACTCCTCCTTAGCCAGAGTGAAAGGAAAGGTTCATACACCCTTCACTCAGCTGGCTGTATTGGGTTTGCATGGCCAGGTTTTGGTAACAGGGTGGAAGGAGCTGCAGGGACGGCTCCTGTGAGAAGCTGCCAGGAGCTTCCCCTACATCCAACAGAGCCAATGCCGGCCGGCTCCAAGACGGATCCGCCGCTGGCCAAGGCTGAGCCCATCAGCAATGGTGGTAGCACCTTGGGGATAACATAGTTAAGAAGGGGGGAAAGTTTCTGTGCAAGAGCAATTGCAGCTGAAGAGAGGAGTGAGAGGATGTGAGAGGAGCAGCCCTGCAGCCCCCCAGGCCGGTGCAGCAGGAGGGCAGGAGGAGCTCCAGGCACCGGAGCAGAGATTCCCCTGCAGCCCCTGGTGCAGCCCATGGTGGGGCCGGGTGGGGCCCCGCAGGTTTGCTGGCCGGGCTGGTGACCCCGCGGGGGACCCACGCTGGAGCTGTCTGTGCCTGAGGGACTGCACCCCGTGGGAGGGAGGGACCCACGTTGGAGCAGTTTGTGGAGGATTGCAGCCCGTGGGAAGGACCCAGGCTGGAGAAGTGCAGCACTGCTTTCCCATTTTCCCTTTAACAACCTCCAGTTTGTTAAAAGAACATGTGCTGGCCCCAGCCAAGTGTGCTGTCCCCAGGTGACAGTGATTTTCACTTCCCACTTTGAACCTCCTTAGGTGAACCTGCTTTTCACCCAAATCCCTGTCCCCTCAACACCTGCTTGCCCTGGCTATTGTCAGCACCCTGGCCGTGAGCACAGCAGACCAGGACGCGGTTTAAGACCCCCCTCAGCCAGGACAGTACTGACCCCCCTCCAGTGCCCTCTTCATGAGACCGGGCGGACCAAGCCTCAGGCTGAACCCACTATACACACATTTTTAAGGCCCTTCACCCTAAAGCAGCAATTACCAGGTAAAAACTGACAGTGGTAGCAGAGACCACTCGGACTCTGTTTTTTTCTTTTCCTGACAAAGGACAGCGCTGGCATGGGAAGGCTGTGGGACCCTAAATGCCTGTTACCTGCCCAAGACCTTCAGAGGATTCTTTTCCCCCAGACACCCCACTGCTGGAAGCAAGGAGGTCCATCCTCCAAGCTTGGATCAGGGCTGGGATGCATCTTGATGAATGCAGTGGCTGCCCATTTTGAGGGGCTTTGGCGTGGTCCCTCCCACAAGTGAAAAGTTTGTCGGTGCTCCTTACGAACATGAGTGACATGTCAAAGCAACAGTCATGCTGCAGGCTGTAAAATAGCTCCTGAGTTTTGCCTGACAAAGCTCCTCCTCAAGCTGTTAACTGAGCTCCTGGACCTGTTGTTAGTAACAAAGCAGTGGAGGTGATGCATTTAAAAAAATAACTCAGTGCCTCATTTAAAAAGTCTTTGTCCCCATCAAGCTGCATTTTTTGAGCCACTCATCCTACAAAAGAAATTAAACCTCTGGTCACTGCTGAAGTCTACCTAAAACACCCCCTGCATTTGGAGAGGCTGTGCAATCAAGGCCACCCTCCTGGGAAGCAGCAGCTCTGTTTATTTTAAAACATGCATAGCATCGTCCCCCGCCTGCCCGTCCACTCGCCTCCCGTCGGAGTGGCTGCTGGGAAGGCAGCACTGGCCCCCACAGCTCAGCTCTGGCATGGACAGACCGAGGCAGCGGGGTGGGAAGGGGAAGCTGTAGAGAGCGGCAGGACACCGGCAGGAGTTTTAGGCTCCCAAGAGCATCCCTGCCTTACTGGGAGATCGAAGGCAGAGTCCATGAACGCGCCCGGCTCACAGGAGCATTTTGTTTGGACATATCAGTCAGACTGCATCAAATCCTGGCTGAAACACCACAGGGTTGGCAGGGAAACAGAGTCATCTTCATCTGACTCTTTTGGCCAAGCTGGAGCAACGTGCACTTTGCTCGTGTGGTAAAAGCACTCCTTCCTCCCAGAGGACACTTTGAAGGAAAAGCATTGGCAATAGCCTGTTCTAGGAAAAAAACAACAGCTGAATGTCAGACCGTTTTCACCAAGGCCAGAGCAACAATTCCTCAGAAAAGGACCCTCAAAGGACTGTTTTACTCAAGGTAGCAAAGCTCCTCAGGGTCCCCTTTCAGCCCAGGAGGACCCAGCCCAGCCCTGGTGTCCTTCTTTTGGCCTCTCTGGGACCAGCTGTCGGGGCTGCAGGCAGAGGGTGTTTTGGCATCTGCCCTTGGGCTGCTGCTTTGCTGCTACCCACCCCAAAACTGCAAGCAATGGGCTGACACCTGGGGGCTGATGCAACCTGCTGTAATTGCAGCCTAGCAGTTCCCCGGGGAGCCTGTTTGCAAAGAGTGCCTAGGTGCAAGCACTGCTTTTGGGGGGAATGGAGAGGAGCCTCCCGTTGGACGCCTGTCTTGTCTGCACTGGTGTGGGACCAGTGTATTGCTCAGCAGGGATGCGGGGTCCAATCCCCCGCCAAAAATCTCCATGAACAGGGAACAGAGGGGGCAGGTCCTCTGTCGTGGGGCTGCCAGGCTGGTCTGAGTCAGGAGCTGCACCAGCAGGCAAAGCACAGGTTGCTGGGACCCCCAGCAGACAGATTCAGGGTTGTGTGGCTATGGAAAACGATGCAGAGCTGAAAGCCTTTGCTCACACCCGCCACTGTTTCCATCCCTGGGCGAGGGCGGCTGCTGCCCGGCTACCTCCTCCCAGCAAACGGGAATACGCCAGGTCTGACCTGGATCTCTCCAGACAAGCCTGAACATCGCGAAACAAGACTTCTGACGCAGATGGCTTCCTTTGAGGTTTGTGTGGTGGTGGGTTTTTTTTTCATTCCTCTTTCCTAATAGGTGTTGTCTTCAGCAGCGGATATGCAGTTGCAGGACTTCCCATCTGGTTGCATCAGTCTCCCAAACTGATCTGGTGGGCAGTGCTGCTGATGCAGTGACTAATGAGCAGGAGGGAACCTGAAATCCTGCCACTTTCTAGAAACTTTGCGAAGACCAAGCAGCTTAGAGCCCACCCTGGCTGCCAGTCTGCAGAGCCACGCTGGGGGAGGCTCCGCATGCACTTACAAAAGCGAAATGGTAAGCCTGAAAGCCCAAACTCGCTGCGTCCCAAGACTCTGGGTTTTTTTACCCATTGCAGATATGTTTTATTTCTCCCTGGTTGCAGTTATTTGCTGCTTTTATGGTCCTGGTGATCCCCTACGTGTGGCTCTCCCAGGGTTTCTTGCAGGGGAGCCTTTGAGGCACCACCCGGTGGTGGGACTTTCCTCCTGCATCTTCAGGCACCCCCACCACACGTCTGAGAACCCCAGCGGCCACTGAGTGCAAGCTCTGCTTGGGAGTCATGGCCTGGCAGCAGTACAGCCTGGGAGAGGAGCTGGAAAATCCCAGCTCCAGCCTAGACTGTATCTCTCCATCTCCAGTGCGCGGCTGGGCAGATGACTCAGTGCCTGTGCTTTAGCTTCCCCGTCTTTATAGATGACGTCAGTACTGCAGGCCTTGCTATGGACATTAATTACATGTGGCCGTGGTCTGCAAACAGGCCAAGCTCAAGCCCATCTCTAGAGGATCTGACCTGTAATGCTTAGGGCAGCAGCCCGGCACTGGAGCGAGCAGCATCCACGTGTAGTGCTGGCAGCAGAAGCGACTCAAAGCAACCCAGCTGTAGCAATGCATCGGCGCGGGCAGTAACGGAGAGCGACGGCAGGATCCATCCCATCTGCCCACCACATCTAGGCAGAGGTGGCAGAGGAGCTGGAGCTCCTGGCACGTCTAGGAAAAAGCCTTGGCTGCTGCCCCAGCATCCAGCTCTGTCTCTGAGTGCGGGGGGACCGAGGAGCCCTGTAGTCCCAGCATGGAACAACAGGATGCCACACAGGATCTGAGCATTGCTCTTGGAGGCTGGCCCTGGGTTTTGCCACATCAGCCACACGCTAGTTCATGAGAGGGGCCAGCGCAGCTCCCCGTCAGTCTGCAGAGGGCCAGCAGCTTTGTTGCCTAGGGGAGGCTCTTGACTTTCCCCACAAGACCCATCAGGTTGTCTGCTGGGAGTCCTGTTTGCCCTGCTCCCACAGGGTGCATGCCTGCAGACTGCACGGCACTCACTTTTGGCCCAAATGCACCTGTCCGGGAGGCTGGTTGCACGTGGGCGCTGTGAGGATGTGCAGCCCGATTATAGCTCCTCCAAGGCAGCTGAGACAAGGTGCTGGCCATCGCTTCTCCGCGTGGCTGCTGTGCGGAGCCACGCTGCCCCGGGGAGGGGTCTTACCGTGGGGCAGAGCAGGGCATTGCTGCCATGGCTCTGACCCAGTGCTTTGCAGCCCTGAAGGTGCCGGCCTGCCTCACTGTGCCTGCATGGGCAGGGCAGAACTAAACCTCCCACCAACAGCCTTTCTCTGTTTTTAAATTAGGAGTAGTCACTTTAACCAGCGGCAGCTGATCTGGATTGTCCCCTGCAGCTCGCGCTCCGTCCATGCCTCGGTGCAGAGCGGGGACACCTGAAGCTGGCACGAGCGCAGGCGCTGCTTCCCCATGCCCAGCAGGCACAGCCCCTCTGTGCACGCGCGTGTGCATGAGGGAGGTGTGGGGATAGCCCCTGTGATGGGGAATGTCAGCCGTGAAGGTTTTCTCACAGCAAAGATTTTCTGGATTAAGTGACGCCTAAGTCTGATGGAGATATTTGGGGTGTTGGACAATGTTGAAAATCCAGTTGTGCTCTTTGTTGTCCTTTGACGGGTATTCACCCCGGCTGTTATTTCCTGCTCTAGCCCACGGATGCCTCAGATAGAGCCTGATCCTTGGTTTGATTTGAATTTCATTAAACTCCACAGAAGGGCCTTCTCCCAACTCTGAACGCTGGGGATATCTGCAGCTGCTGTTGGGTCTAATGGCACCCAGCGGTGATGGGAACAGGGCCGAGGGAGGCCGTGCGCCTGACCACGCCTCAGGCGTGACAGGGTCCTGAGCCTTTTCGGGTCGGACTGGGCGCCTGAGTCTGGCACCAGCAAAGGAGAGCTCTTGTGCAAGCCTGCACCTTCACTTTTGCTGCTCAGCTTTTATCTCTATTGCCCTAAGGCCCAATTATGGATTTTCATGGAAATGTGGGTGGAGGGACACAACTCCTTCTAATCCTCGGTGCTTAAGCATTTGACGGTTTCCAAAGTGCCAGTGTCGGTGTAGCCTGAGTCACGCATCCCCAGGCAGACTGTCTGCACTCTTCACTACTTTTGCATCTTTTCGTGAATACCCTTGAAAACCCCAGTAGCTTCTGGAAAGCAGAAATATAAGAAACCTGTTGGAGTGGGCTCTCTGGACTGTACAGTGTGTTTATCCTGCTGTGTCACGTCTGCATTTACACTAACCGAACTGATGAAGTCCAGGATTTTCTCAGAGGGAGCCCAGCCCGCAGGCATCCCGAAAAGTACATCATACGCTTTTTGGTGCTGTGGGATATCTGCTCTACTTATCTTCAGTCCATTTTTTTTATATATCCTCAGAGCCACACTCAGCAACTCCTCTCAGAAGCATCCTCAGCCACCGTATTTATACACGGCAGCCGCTTCTGTCTGGCTTACATAGTCCTGCCAGGGATGAAATCAGGAGCACCCCATACTTTCAGAACATTTAGGTTGCAAAATCACACCCTGAGCAGGAGAGAAATGCTGGAGCCAAGGCTGCCAGCAGGAGTTGGCTTTCCCGGTTGTGCTGTGCAGTGCGATCCTTGGGTGGCATGACCAGGGTCTGCTCCCCCTGCCTGGCTGAATTTATATTCCCTAATTTGTCTGCCGTTTTGGAGCCCAGCACCTCCAGCCCATGAGACATCTCTCCTCCTCCTCCCGTGTGGACACCAGCTGCCAGAAGCCGCTTGCTTCATACGCCAGCACATGCAGGAATGGCAGCAACATTATCTCACTGGTGCCGGCTGGAGAGAAGTCATAACCTTGCTGGCACCAAAACAGGGATGAATCAAAAATCACACAGGCTCTGTTGCTGCATCACTGCCAGCTGATCTTAATTTTGCTCTCCCCGCTGATGCCTAGGAATCTGCCAGTGCTGCTTCTTCCCAAGCAGGAAACCCACGCCCGGTGTGGGTGGGAATAGCCAGGGCAACAGCGTGCCTTCACACCTCCCTCCCCAGGGGCACATTCATTTTGGGATTTTTGCTCAGGAATCACTGACTTGTCATTTCTAACTTTAATTTCACTTTAATATGATTATCCTTCCTTTCTGTAATTTATTCCCACAGGTGCTTACAGCACCTCCCTGCTTATTATCAGAAAGATTAATTAATGAGCTGTTTATCCTTTACCCCAGATCATTAACCAAGCTTGATTTAATAAAATCAAACCAGACATCTGGCCTAGCAACACCTGACTGGGCAGCCACCTCTTTTATCAACCTTCTGTGTTCGGCTGACAGCAAATATCCAGTGCCAGGCACTGAGCAGCCATCTCACCAGTGTCTGCAGGGCAGGCACAGTTTTTCGTATTTATTATAGTCCTGTAATGACTAAGGCTGCAGTCCAGAAAAATGCTTAAGCTTGTTTTTAACTGCATAGGTGCAGCTAAGTACCCTTAATGGTTGTATGACATGACCATATACTTAAGTGCTTTCTGAACTGCAGCTTTATTGAGGTTTCTGTTCTTGTCATACCACACAGCCTCCCGTTTTGCCATCCCTTTTTTCCAGCGTGGAAAAAGAGTATTTGCAGGCTGCTCCCCTTACCAGAATTCCCCAAATGCCCCATGCTGGGTGAGACGTGCCCAGGCTCTCCCCGGGCAGAGCTGCAGTAATGACTGCGTTTTTGTCCCTACCCTGCTCCCAGGGGTAGGAGCTGGCCCTGCCTGGGCTCCTGTGCCTGGCCTTAGTGCCTGGTTGCACCCCTCTTCCCCTGGGGCTGACAGGCAGTGGCAGAACTGGGACGAGGTCCTGCTGCGAGGTTTTGGGTTTTGCAGAGGGTGCTGCAAACCTGTCCGTTGCATGGGGAATTGGCTGCCTCCGCGGCTCATCCAGGGGTGGCCGTGCAGCCTGGCTTCTGTGCTCGGTCTGGCTTGAAGGCTCCCAGTTGACGTTACAGCCCTGCAGAAACAGCCAAGAGCTGTAACTCCCTTTATAATTCCCTTGGCACTGAGCAATATTTGGGACCTGCCCACTGTGCGTGCGTGAGGCAGATGGAGTCTCTGCACATCACTGGACTCCTGTGCCTACTTGCACCAGCTCAGGACCCTGCTATCAAGCAGCAGCCCTATACTGCACAAGCACGGGCATACAAATCCTCTGTAAGCCAGACCGGTGGAGCAGGTGTCAGGGAAAAGGGAGATCCCAGGCTGCTGTGAAGCCATGGGAGATGGGAGCAGCATCTTCCTATTGTACCTACCTATTGCAAACTGATCTGGATATGCCTCTGCTCCATGCTTCAGGTGTCTGCCTGGTAAATGCAAAGGCCGGTCTCCACCACAAGCAGCTGCAAGCAGAGCCTGTATCTGTAAAATGAGAAGCATGGCCAGGGAGCGCAAGAGGAAGGGACGGCAAGGCAAGGCAAGGCAGCAGCAGCTGGAGGAGCGCTTGGTTCTGCAGGGCTGCCTGTGGCGGAGGCTGCCAGCCCTGCCTGCACCCGCAGTTCCGTGGCTTAATCACCTTCCCGCTGCGCCTGCCCCGACCAGTGAGGCTGCTGGTTTCATGTCCAGTGAACCCCAGTCACTTCTGAGTTAGCTGCAAAAAACTGTGATGCTCCTCTTCCAACAGCGATGGAAGTACTACAGCCAGGACATTGAAAACAAAGCAAAATAAACGGACCGCGCTGAGGAAGCAGCCAGGAGGGGAAAGGAGGGGAAGGCATGAGTAAGAGCCAACAGGAAAAGCCCTGGATTTGTTTGCAGGGCACATATTAGCAGGGAGTGGCGGCTGCAGCGATTGCTCTTTGCAACCTGGTTGCGTAAGGAGAGACTGATTTCCTGAGGCTGCTGGGACAAAGCACAGCAAAATTGTCATCGAGGAGAGGAGAGAGCTGGGCACGGGCATAGGATCAGTCCTCACCCTGCTCCTGGCCTCCTAGCATCCCCGTGCCAACCTGTCCCTCCTCAGCAGCCTCCTCCTTTTCTGGCCTTTGCCATGCACGCAGCTACGGGCACAGTTAAAAGTTTCTCGAGATAAAGAGGGGACTTGAGTTTCCAGGATGATCTGCTTAGCAGCTGTTGCTTGCAAATGACAGTCTGGAGGAGGACGATTTACATTCAGCAAAGAGACTAGACTGGGATGACTGAGGTCCCCCTGGCTAGCAATGAGGTGTACGGATGACATCTGTGGAAGGGCTACCATTCATAGTGATGATAATCATGCTTGTATCTCATCTGTCCGCTTTCATCTGCAGCACCTTGGTGGAGAAGGAAGGGCTCATCTGGCCCATAAAACAGGAAGATTTGAAGTGACTTTCTTGTGGTGGCACAGCCTGCCACTGGCTGGGAGAAACTCAGTGTCCTACTTGCTAGGCCACGCGTGGCATTTTGTGTAGCACAAGGTGGTCACGCTGCTCCATCCACATGAGCGACATCTGGCAGGATGGACCAGCCGGCACCAAAGAACCAAGTCAATCAGCTCGTGAAGAGCATCAGCTTTTACAGTGCTTTGAGCTCAGCTGGGAGAGGCAGCAAGCACGCAGACCTTGATATTGGCAGCCACTAGCAACACATCAGCCTCGAAAGGAAGAGTAATGGAAATGCAGCCTGTTCCCGGGAGAGGAGCTCGTTGTAAATGGGATGGATATGTGAAGAAGTGCTCTGCTTCGTGTGCATGAGTGGAAATAACCTTAGATAAAGAGGTTAATAGTGGTGCGGCATATTCCACCTGGCCCAACTCTGGGTGCTGCGATGCCTGCCTCCCACTGCTGGAAATGCATGGTCGGGGTATGTTCTCCCAGAAAAGCATCTGCAGTGCGGTAAAATTAGCAGGGATCCTTTCCGCAGTGAGGATCCAAACTGCTCTAAGACAAGCCTGAGATGCACAAACTGCTCCTGTGCTGAGATGCAAGGGATGACTGCTCAAACTCTCCTCAAGGTAAAAAAGTTAACTCCTCATGGTAACAACCCCTGGCACACACTAATCCTGTCCCGGACCGACACTCGTACCTTTCCCCCTCTACTTTCACAAGCAGAATCATAGAATCATAGAATTGTCTAGGTTGGAAAAGACCTTTGAGATCATCGAGTCCAACCCTGCCATCCCACCACTAAACCATGTCCCTAAGCACCTCATCTATCCTTCTTTTAAATACCTCCAGGGATGGGGAATTGACTACCTCCCTGGGCAGCCCATTCCAGAGCCTGACAACCCTTCTGGTGAAGAATTTTCTTCCTAATGTCTAGCCTAAACCTGCCCTGGCACAGCTTCAAACCATTCCCCCTCATCCTGTCATCTGTTACCAGGGAGATGAGCCCGCCCCCCCCCTCACTACAGCCTCCTGTCAGGCAGTTGTAGAGGGCGATCAGGTCTCCCCTCAGCCTCCTCTTCTCCAGACTAAATAATCCCAGTTCCCTCAGCTGCTCCTCGTAAGACTTGTGCTCCAGACCCCTCACCAGCTTTGTGGCTCTCCTCTGGACATGTTCCAGCCCCTCAATGCCCTTCTTGGAGTGAGGGGCCTGAAACTGAACACAGCATTCAAGGGGCGGCCTCACCAGCACCGAGTACAGGGGCACGATCACTTCCCTACTCCTGCTGGCCACACCATTCCTGATACAAGCCAGGATGCTGTTGGCCTTCTTGGCCACCTGGGCACACTGCTGGCTCACATTCAGAGAGACACAGCTGTCAGCAGACCCCCTGCAGCCTTTCAGCTTGTTCCGTTTTCATGGCAAAGAGGACAGGGCCAGGGAAAGACCCCCTTTCTTACCATGTTCCCTTTAAATACGGCAGCGCTCCATATTTCTACGGCATGCACAAGATCGGAGTCCATCTGCAATGGCAGCCCAGCTGTTTCCACTCAGGGTTATCACCAGTATGTGGAGGATTGTAAAACTGAGACATAAATTTGCATCTTTTCTGTCAGACGTACGTCACGTTTCAGGGCTTCCCCCACAGCACTGTCTGTAACCTCACACCACCTTTTGGGCTGGTGGCTTAGGGGGGAGGCTTTGAAACACTGACCACCTTTTGTGCTTCAAAGTCTCCACTGACACCTACGTATCAGAACGTTGAAACGCTTCCTAACATAACCTTCAAAAGCCCCGCACCCTACGTTTTTAGACTGCTA